TTGGCTTTAGATATTCTTTATTTAATGCAAACTATATCATTTCACTTAAAGTATAATTAAAGGCAAAACTTTTTTGGAGTTTTGGATAGAGTGGAGATGGATTCGCACACTTATTAAGTTTTAATTGTTTGTGCCTCCACTAGGGAGATTCACCCTCTCTATTTGTCCTGTTTACCATTATCATGGAAAGTGAAAGTAAAGAAAATCCCAAATTGTAGGTTTTCCCTAAAAAAATAGAGAGGAAATCTTTGAATGGGTACACTAGTTTTGGTGATCTGGGAGTCCCCAAGGAATTCCCTTAATTTGCAGGGATTTCCTCTCACTTCCTGTTTGGCTATGGGACAAGAAATGAAGGGAAACCTCTGAAATGGGACAAATGGCGAAATAAAAATCTGACAGGGGTTATAACCCTCCCATGCTCTATCCAGGTTGAAATAAAGTTTTGCCTATAGTTCTACTTTAAAGGATAAGTTCACCCTTTGGAAAAATAATAAATGCACATTTTTGTGAAGGTATAAAAATGTGCATTTATTATTTTTGTCCAAAGGAGCCTGGAAAGCATTGCACCAGAGATCAGTAGATCGCTGATGCCATGCAGGTCTCCTGCAGACCTGTTAGAATATTTGCTTGCCATACAGGGATGTACAGCCCAACAGATATTCTGATTGAAAGCTTCTGTCAACTACCACGACGCTCCACAGCGCCGTGGTAGTTAATTGAAAACTACAAGCCCACAGCCTCTAAGGCTGTCGGGACTTGCAGTTCATTCACAGAAGTCTGTGAATGAATGACGCAACCATGTTGGCGGAGCCCTATACAGCCATGCTGTTTTCAAATCTGACAGATAGTATGGGGTAACTTCTCCCTGTAACATCTGACAGAGGGAGGGAGACGGCAGGTGTGGCTGCAGCTATGAACTAGATGGACTTTTGACAGCGGTACCTTGGTTTTTTTTCAGCCTGAAAACCAATTAACCCTCCAGACAGAAAAGAGTATATAAAGTGCACTTTAAAGGCATAAATACTGTACAGGGACATGATTAAAAATGTCCAGAATGGCTCCAAAACTCCGCTCCAACACCTCCACAGGGACGCCACGTGCTACCCACAGACTCCCAGCATGGGGGGGCGGCGCTATAAACCTCCCAGGCGCATTCATACTAGTGAATCTTGCTTCATATTGCGAAAAAAATTGTAAATCGGGCCCAATGGATTTTCTATGTAAACTAAAAATTACATTAATCGAGGTGTTCGTAAGTGAAGTACCACTGTCTGTGTGTGCAGGGGCGGACTGAAAACTCTATGGGCAATAGGGGAAAAGGCCCCTATGTACTTGCCCAAACTCAAAAAACTGGGGCATCTCATGGGGCCCCTACTGACCCAGGGCCCTAAGGCAGTGCCCGAGTTTCCAAATGGTCAGTCCGCCCCTGTGTGTGTGTATGTATGTATATAAGTATTAGTGTGTGTGTGTATATATAAATATATATATGAGATATGGCAAATTGGTGTTAACATTTCTTATCACAAGAAAGATTTCCTAGCAGTGTAACACCCGCACCAGCTAGCATCTACTCCAATCCAAGCAGACATCTGTCCCGCATGTTGAGACAAAGGATTTTAAATCCATTAGAATGTAAATACTATTAGACAGTGTAACATCTCAATTACCTAATGTTTCAGCACATTAGGAGCCATTGAGAAGTACTCTACCAGACCCACAATTTTACTTATCTGCTCCTTGCAAATGGCTAATCCCCTGAATCTCTTGACAAGTCTCAACCAAAAGCTGTTATCACAGCAGCACCCACAGCCACTGGAGAACTAACAGGTTTATGTAAACATTGGTTTCCTCACACATTTATGCTAGCAGCATTGTATCTGTACTGCAGCTTGTTCCAAAGACCTAATTGGAGCCTATTTGAAGGCTGGTCATTGTTGTTGCAACTTTTCTTCAAAAGAAAAGTCTTGTAATGCGCCTTCCAGTATTTCTGTTGGCCATTATGCGTGTGAATGGGATTGTGCTGGTGCCAAGAAAATCTGGAGAGCAAAAGAGAAGTGATTGTGTATTATTATGACTGCATGGAAGCCTCCATTGTTGTGTTTAACATTATTTTGAAAATGATTTCACTTTAATAATATGATTAGTTGGTTATTTAGTATTTTTGGATAACTCATTAAATAAGTCAACTTTTCAATACAAGTCAACTTTTTCACTAAAAACAGAAATGTCAGTTTTAGACAGATGCTGGTACTCCATCATCTTATTTGGTCCACAGGTAAGATTTCAGTGCCAAAATGTTACATGTTCATGTCTAAGCCATTTCACTGTGGTTACTAACACTCTCCAATGTGTTTTTTTCTCACTTATTTTTACATTACAGATAATATAGCAGGTAAAGTGACAGTGGCAGAAGAGGACAGATCCAGGAACTATAAAATGGAGATCTCACTGCTGGGGTTCCCAGGAGGTGATTGGAGGCAATTGATAACTAAAGTTGGCCAAACATGGTTAAAGTTGTGATTGATCCCCATGAATTGAGCAATATTTGAGCTATGGGTGGCCCTGCCAGGCTCAACAAACTTTGAGAAATTCAAAGGTTTTGGATGCAAAAAGTTGGCCAAACAGTGAGCTGCAGTCACTGTTCAGGTATTCTGACAACCGTGACTCTATGAGTGGTGGCTGCCAGAATACAATAACCATCAGCAAGAGATTAATGTAGCCTCGGATCACATTATACACAACATGTGAATCACACAGGAGCCACAATGCATTCCTGTGCAATTCTTATGCGACTCAGTGTAGTGTGATTTGAGCCCATATATTTTGAATGGGATCAAATCGCACTCCATCGCACCAAAGATGTGCATGCACAAATTTTGGAGCCGCACTACAAAAAGATCACATGGTTATTTTGTACCATGTGATCCACCGAGATATATTGAAGGCATCGCAGATCGCAAGGGCAGTGCAATTGAAATGCGGAGTAAGATAAATGTTTATGTGCATGGCCAGCTTTAACCTTCTAATTTAAAAATAAAATGTTCATTATGACAAGCACCACAATGTACATATAAAGTAACTTCACTTTACAAAATCATAAACACTGAGCTGCCCATACATGGATAGTAATTTGGCCAGTTCAGCAGGGACCAAAGATTTTTGATCCATGTATGGGCATTGTGGTTGAAGAGACGTCTATCTACCAATCAACTTCTGTTCAACCAGCCTGTTTAAAAACTCCTGCATGATCAGAACTGCAGGATATAGCCTGCAGCTCTAATCAGTGTACTATGACAGTGGGGAAGTCTCCCAGCTGTAAGAATACAAAGACATCGCAGGAGTATTCCCCCATCCACCTTAAATGTGTGGATGGGGAAATCAGGCCAGTTTTTTTTGCTCAACCCGCTGGCTGAATAAAAAACTGACTCATCTATGGCCAGCCTAAGGGTATCTTCTACACACACAAACTCACACACCACAATTTGCTGCCAGAACATTTGAAACCTCTGTGTGGTCAACATCCATGTCCGCACGTGGCAGAGCTAGGGTCTATTAAGTATGCATTCAGGCACCGAGTTAATTGGTCTTGCAGTGGTACTGAATACAAATGGGCCTTTTGGTAAAGCAAACCTGCTACAGTATGGGCAGAGCACTGGTTCACTTTAAATTGGATCTTCACTCTATCAACATTGACTATTTTGAATCCTTCTGCTGCTAGCATCAGTAAATAGAAAGGAAAGTATATCATATTTACATGTCTTAAACTATTTTTTTTTTTTTACATTTTTCAGGTACTTCCTGGTTTCCATGCCTAGGCAAATTATGTCAGACATGCCAGCAGTCTTTAGGATGGGAGAAGGGGTTTTGTCAGCTAAGAACACTCTCCTGACTGCATGCATGAGCTAAGGGCAGATGGATTCCAGGAAATAAGTGTTCATCTGCCCTTACTCAAGATCGTTGTGGCCAAAAATGCTAGGGGGCGTTTTTCAAAGTGATTTCTCAGCAAAATAAAGCATGGAGACATGAATGGAAACAATGTATTTAAGCTCCAAAGTCAGAGTGTTGCCATGCTTCTAAAACTTCACGTAAATTGGAGTTGGTTAGAGCTGGATGTCATTATTTGCATATTAAGCACTCAACGTTTGGTGGTTTCCAATCCACTCCTGAAAAATGAAGAAGAGTTATGGGAAAACACCTCTAAGTGCCTACACATATCAGTAGAGAACATAGGATCCCAATGCCATTCTTCTGAAAATGCTGATTGCCTGTCATGCTGATGCTCAGTCTTCAGTACTTTGTAGGATAGTTAGCAAGGACAGGTATGCAGCTCAGCTATGTTCCATGCCAGTGACTCAGAATATATAAAAGCATGTCAGCCAGGCAGCATGAACCTCCAAATACAACTATATGGTTACTATAGGTTCAGGTTTAGGGCCTTTGACAAGTAAATTCTAGTAGTTATAGGAATTTATGTAGCAGTACAGTAAGGTACAGAAGATGATGACCTAAATGAACATGGAAGTCATTCAGCCAGGGACTGAACTCTAGGCAGATATAAAAGACACACATTGATGCAGGTCTGTAATCATTAATACATCATTAAATGTATTTTTTTATGTAAGTCTTGTAAGTACCTGAATTTTATCTGGTATCAGCCTCTTGCTGCCTCTGTATAGCAGGAGGAGAGGAAGAAGCAGAAAAAGGAGCCAATCGGTTCATGTGATGACAGGAAACATGCTGATATTATGAGAAATCGGAGTGATGGAAAGATTAACTCATCACTGCTTCTATTTTCACTGTCCATTCACAGGCTGGGGTTAGTTTAAGATGATAATCAGACTGAGGACATCTACTGGCAGGAAAAAAGTACCGTATTTTTCGCTCCAAAAAAGGGGGAAAATGTCAGTGCATCTTATGGAGCGGCCAGTCCGCCGCCGCGCCACCGTGTCAGAATACCGGGCCAGCCGCTCAGCTCTTCTCTGCAGCAGGACCTTACCTGTTCCTCGGTCCAGCGCTGTACAGTCTTCCCATGCCGGCATCTTTAGTGTGGGCATCCGGCTGTGACAGCCGGGTGCCCTCTGCACATGCACGAGAAGTGCTGCGCTTGTGAATGGCCTGGCGCCTTCTGGGACATATGACAGGTCCCAGAAGATGCCGGGCCATTCACAAAGCGCAGCGCTTTTCGCGCATGCGCAGTGGGCACATGGCTGTCAGCCGGGTGCTCACACTAAAGGGAGGACAACTCCAAGGAAGTGGGAACGAGTACCTGTCAAATTCAGGTACCCGCTCCCCCTCCCTCCCTAAAGGTCCGCAGTCTCTTGGTCATCCTCTGTACTGTCTGCCGTCTCTTGGTCATCCCCTGTACTGTCTGCAGTCTCTGGTCATCCCCTCTACTGTCTGCAGTCTCTTGGTCATCCCCTGTACTGTCTGCAGTCTCTGGTCATCTCCTCTACTGTCTGCAGTCTCTTGGTCATCCCCTGTACTGTCTGCAGTCTCTTGGTCATCCCCTGTACTGTCTGCAGTCTCTTGGTCATCCCCTGTACTGTCTGCAGTCTCTTGGTCATTCCCTGTACTGTCTGCAGTCTCTGGTCATCCCCTGTACTGTCTGCAGTCTCTTGGTCATCCTCTGTACTGTCTGCAGTCTCTTGGTCATCCCCTGTACTGTCTGCAGTCTCTGGTCATCCCCTGTACTGTCTGCAGTCTCTGGTCATCCCCTGTACTGTCTGCAGTCTCTTGGTCATCCCCTGTACTGTCTGCAGTCTCTTGGTCATCCCCTGTACTGTCTGCAGTCTCTGGTCATCCCCTGTACTGTCTGCAGTCTCTGGTCATCCCCTGTACTGTCTGCAGTCTCTGGTCATCCCCTGTACTGTCTGCAGTCTCTTGGTCATCCCCTGTACTGTCTGCAGTCTCTTGGTCATCTCCTGTACTGTCTGCAGTCTCTGGTCATCCCCTGTACTGTCTGCAGTCTCTGGTCATCCCCTGTACTGTCTGCAGTCGCTGGTCATCCCCTGTACTGTCTGCAGTCTCTGGTCATCCCCTGTACTGTCTGCAGTCTCTGGTCATCTTCTGTACTGTGTCTGCAGCCTCTGGTCATTTTCTGTACTATGTCTGCAGTCCATTGGTTCAGAATATTTTTTTTCTTGTTTTTCACCTCTAAAACCTAAGTGCGTCTTATAGTCAGGTGCGTCTTGTGGAGCGAAAAATATGGTACTTATGAGAAATCTGTGGATTGAAGGTTAAGAATGCAACAAAAGTTATTTTTTATTTTATCATTTAACAGCTATTCATTTTTGTTGCATTATTTGTGGCTGGAGGTTTTTAAGGAGAACATACTGATGACATGAATTGGTTTTGACTGTTAGTGGTTCACTGTGTGTGTTACTGATGCGTGACAGTTAATTTGCCAAGATAAGTTAGTGACGGGGTACATCTCTGCAATAAGTAGGTTCTACCTTATAGATGCACCATTATGTGTATGTTAGCAGCCTTTGTACATCCTAGACATCACATTCATATCTCAAACAGACATACACTAAACTCATGCGGGTCTGTGATGCTGTAACTGCTGCTGATGGAGGAAGAGCAAGAGTAGAGACAAAGACAAACGGTGTCTGAGCCATATAGATTTAAGCAGAGCCCTGGCTCATTTCTGACAATGTGGGGAGTGAGACGTCTCATTGGCCCATAGGTACACAACCCGAAGTGTGTTATTATGGTGACAGCGCTGACAAGGACAGTTTATGTGACACTTGTTTATTGCTTTCCAGTGCTTGCAAATTTAAGAGCTTTGCTGCTGGAACTATTTAACTTGGATTAGGTTCTAACGCAGCCTCTGCAGTCTGTATTCTGGAGAACTGTCACAGAGGTGTAACTTCTCTGCCTGGAGTATGTTATTATTGAAGGTAAATGCAAAATGAAATATTAAACTGTCAGAGTAAATTAATATCTGCTATAGGGACAGTCTGATTTTTCCGTAGACAGTAGACAATTTGACTGCACAGTTTGATTTTAATGCAGCGCTACTTTTACAGGATAGCATTTGTTTCTCCCCTTATACTTTCACTTTAATATTTGTTGTCATTTCATGTGTTTGTCCTGTCTGTATTACCCACCTTTGTAACACTTAAAGCAGGGGCGTATTATGAAATTGTGGGCCTATGTGCAAGAGCAAAAATGGCGGAAAGTGGGCGTGGTTTAAAGTGTGCCATATATTGGGTGTGACTTAAAGGGGGTGTGGTTAAATAGTCTGAGATGACTTGCATAGTGCAGAATGTGGTAATGTTTACTAGGGATTGTACAGGGAAGAATGAGGGGACAAAGATGCCAATTCTACAAAATATATGCCTCCTCCCTTATATACCATCCTATTCTTCCATATATACCATCTTGTACATCCATATACCTCCCCTATATACCATCCTATTCTTCCATATACCGCTCTTATATTCCATACTGTACATCCATATACCTCCCTTACATACCATTCTATTCTTCCATATACCCTTCTTGTATACTATCCTGTACATCCATATACCTCACTTATATACTATCCTATTCGTCCATATACCTCTCTTATATACGATCCTGTACTTCCATATACCTCCCCTATATACCATCCTATTCTTCCATATACCGCTCTTATATTCCATACTGTACATCCATATACCTCCCTTACATACCATTCTATTCTTCCATATACCCTTCTTATATACTATCCTGTACATCCATATACCTCCCTTATATACCATCCTATTCTTCCATATACCATCCTGTACATCCATATACCTCCCTTATATACCATTCTATTCTTCCGTATACCCTTCTTATATACTATCCTGTACATCCATATACCTCCCTTATATACCATCCTATTCTTCCATATACCATCCTGTACATACTGTGGGAACTCGCTTCAAGTGGTAGAGCTTCTTCAAAGCACACAGCAACTCGCTTATTTTTTAAGGGCCTGTTTGCCCACTTTTATTTAAATGTCAGTTCAATAACAAAGGTTTCCCACGCAGGGGTATCCACCATCAAACAAAACAATATTCAGCCTCCTGGCTTGTACGCAGTTTTAAGTCTGCCTCCTGCAGACTCTTCCCAAAGTATGGCACTAGCACACAGCTAGTCTGGCTTCCACCTCTCCTAGGTGTAGCCCACCTGACTCCACGGCAGAGACCTCCCGTCTGCCTGGGTGGCGCCCTCCTAACTGCCGGGGTGGAGCTCAGACTCATGGCCTGGCCTCCACAAAAAGGCCTGCACACACCTGTGCAATCAGCACGCTGGCTGCTCCCAAAATATGGGCCCAGGATTGGAGATTTCATCCCTCCCAAATCTCTTAGAAATCTCCAGGCAACAGGTCCCAAAACAGGCTTTACAAACCAAAGAGGAAACTTATAAACCCGTTTCCTCTGCATTATGAGAACTGCCTGGAGCCCCTCAACCTGCATGGTTGAGAATCCTGGGTCTCCATCATGATTTCCACCGTGGCAGGATACCGCACTGCCACATATCCCCCCCTTTGTTTTGATCCCGTAGGGGGCAGAACACAACAAGCCCAAACTCTTTACTTTGGCACCTCTGTGCCAGCTTTCACCTATATGAGCCCCTTCCTGACTGACATCACTTTCACAGGGAAACTTTCCTTCCTGTCTTACGAGGCAACTTTCCCTGTGTTCTCCTACTACACGGACTAGGGCTCTAAAAAGACACTGCGCCTTTTTACGGGTTCGCTTCCAAAAGCGTTGCCTTTCTATTTTCCTTGGGGCCACCCAAGTCACCTTCCCATTAAGGAATTTCCAAAACTTGGGACCTTTCTGAGGATGAGGTTGACGCCTGAGTTTTAGGTGTCGGACAAACATTAAAGCTATGCTGCACTCTTAACCTCCGGTTTCCCTTCACCTTTGAAGGGGTCACGCTTTTAAGCACAAAAAGTGTGGGCTTTTTTATTGGGGTTACCTTAGTCCCTCTCTGCACTCTATGTACAGGCATCTTCTTACTGACAAAACCTAGCTCGGTTGGTTTCCCCCTGTACACTGCATGCTTCCTTTTGTCCCTGATATTCTCAGATGACCGCAATGTCCTCTCTCCTTCTGAAGGACAGACCGATTGTCTTGCTCTTCAGATGTTTTTATGTCAGGGGACCTCTTTAAATTATCCACTTCCTTAAAGTTTTCCCCCTTGGGCAGATAAGCTATTTAAAGTTTCTCTACCCAGAGTACCCTCCTGAACCTGTAGGGGGCCTAATTCAGCTGCAGCTTTTAGTTCAGCGGTGTCTAGCAGCGATCAGGTGCTCATTACCCCACCACATCACATGTTTCAGGGTTATCCGCATGCATGTCCTCATGACTTCAGGTGCGATCATTAGGCTTATGGTCACCCACAGAAAACTAACTGATCTACATTTACCAGTGCCTCGCACTTTTCCAAATCATCATATTTTACCATTTACCAATGCACGCACTTTTCCTCATGGTCAGAAACATCCACACCTTTGTCAGAACTCATTTCAATGTTTGGCAGGGCAGTGTTGGAAAACCAAGTGCACCGCGGGGAGTGGTTGTCTTCCCATGGCAACATCGCTATCCACCAGAAGGCGCTCCACTGGCACATGAACCTCTTCCAGCAACTGTCCTGACACCTGACCATCATACATAATTCCACATTTGGTTTACTGACCCCAATCACTTGACGTGTGCCATCTGACACTTCACCAACACGGGCTCATTTTGGGATCACGCTATTCATTCCCACACCACTGGATCCTTTGTGGTTTGTGGGCACGATCTCTGCTAATGTGCTCAATCTCACTTGGCCCGTCCATATCGGGAGGGAGACCATCTGCAGCAACAGCAAGTGTGCCCTTGTCTATAAACCACTCTGCCAGTCCCCTCCATTTAGCACAGCAGAAGTCGTGTCCACTCCACTGTTGGAAACAGAGGTCCCTTTTCAACAAAGCCAACAGGGTTTTCAGCCCATCTTGTCCAGTCTACTTTCTCTGCGCTCCAATCAGAGGTACTACGCAGTACGCACAACTGCCGGAGGAGACACAGGACAGAGTGGCTCAGCAGAACATCACATTATATCACTTTTGTTCAACCAAAACTGTGGCACAAAATTTTTAACCTCAACAGGTTGCAATACCACACCTTCACCACCGTACTTCTGATGGCGCTTCATTCACCTCAGGAACACTTCATACATATTGTCAGTACTGAGACAGACTCAGTTACAACCCCATTATCACCATGAGGCCGCCGGGTGTGGGTTTTCAAAAATTTCAGTTTTAGCATGTTATTTCAATCATTCAGTTTTGTGTCAAGTTACTCTCTTGTCCAGCAGCAGTACATAGTTGTCCCAGGCAACTCTGGCTCCAACACACAGAGTCTCCAGGAAGTTTTCCATGGACCACCTTTGCAGCCTTGGATACTGTTGCCAAGGGCAACAACATAATCTTCAATCATATTCAACATCAACACTGTTATCCTTATGAGCTGTGCTAGCCCCTCACCAACCGTAACCTTACATTTACCAACAGTAACACTTTTGTTGGCATGACCATCTCAGCCATTCTCATTACCTATAGACATGACTGCAGCTCCATAGCTGACCTGGGAAATCCTCTGCTCCGTCACTGCGGGCTCCTGGGAGGTTTCCCTGGTCATCTCTGCAGCACTATCACTAGGGAACATGGTGCCATGGCAGTTTTGGTCACCCCTAGGTTACCATCCCCAGCCTTCTGCTGATTATAGCAGGCACCTGCAGAGTCCCCATGTCCTTTTCCATATTTAGTCCTGCTAATCGTTGGGCTGTTCCCTGTGCCTCCCACACTACTCAGGGTCAGCACACAGCAGCCAGTCCCATGTCCATCTGTATTGTGGAACTCCCTGAAGGA